CCACCCCAACTCCCCCACGGCCAGTCACTTTCTCATTCCCTCCCGTTCCAGCAGGGGCAGAGCTGATACTCAGGGAGGAGGCAAGCTCAGGAGGACGGCACTTAGGTTGGGTTTTCTTGTTCTTTTTTTCTATTTTCATGAAACTTTTCCTTAACCCAATATTTTTAAAGGTCCCCCATCTGATTGCTCACGGGCATGAAGCCAGGGTACCCATGCTCTGCAACAGCAGAAACATGCCCCTAGAAGTCTTTGAGGCCAAACACTGACCTCATTTTCAAAAAAAAAAAAAATAGCTGGTAGAGGAGGAAAGGGAGATAGCAGAGAAAAAAGGAGAGGAGAGGGGAGGGAGGGGGGATAGAGGGAGGAAGGGAGGAAGGGGAGTGGGGAGCAGCAAGGAGAGTCCAGATCCACCTGTGATAAGGGTGGGCTGGGGTGCGGGTCTGGGTGCCTGGATGCAGAAGATGCCTGTTGGAACTTGAGCTCCATCACAGCTAGCAGGGAGGTCCCTTTAACGCCACCCCTGAGGCTCCAATCCGTTCATCAGTGCCGTCTGGTGTCTGGGCTCAGGCTGCTGTAAGAAGGTACCAGAGACCGGGCAGCTGAAGCAATAGCAGCTTCTGTCTTCCGGTTCCAGAGGCTGGAAGTACACCAAGAAGGTGCCGGCAGATTCAGTTCCCGGTGCGCAGAAAGCCACCTTGGGCTGTGTCCTCACAGTGTGGAGACGAGAGAGAGAGAGAGAGAGAGAGAGAGAGAAGCTGCTCCCTGGTGTCTCCTCTGAGCAGGGCCTCCATCCCCTCCTGGGGCTCCGCCCTCTTCACTTTGACCTGGTCGCCTCCCACAGGCCCCACCTCCTGCTACCATCACCCTGGGGCACCGTTTTCAACAGAGGGATTTGCAGGAGGCACACAAGCCGCACATCACCACAGGGAGCCCATCTGTCTGGGGGTTTCCTTCCCAGCAGGAAGGGTGGCTTTTCGGCTTTTCTCCCCTTGATTCCAGGCACCCCACGCAGTGGCATGCTGCAGGCTCCCAGTAAATAGTTGTGCAATCAAAGGAGGGAGAGAGGAGAAAGGGCGAGAAAGAGCCTGATAAACTATCAAGTCCCAAGCAGCCGCAGTGCTTGCTTGTTGTCCAAAGCAGACTGAGGAGCCCCTGACGTCCTTCCGGAACCGTGTCTGCCTTGTGAGACCAAACCCGGGGTCCTGAAGTCCCGTCCATCCGAGAGAGCCTCCCCCGGGCATGTCTTGGAGCCAAAAGCTGAAGCAGGAGCCAGAACCAGACCCAGAGCCTTCCCTCAAGATCTGATCTCCAATCCGGGAGAAGTCGGATGCTGCTTCTGAAGACAGAATGAAACCCACTCGGGTGGAGGGGGGGGTGGACAGGAGCTGGGGGTCCCAAAGTCGAGCCTTTCCTCTAGTTTGATTATAAGAACAATCAGCCCTAATGACTGGGGCTCGTTCACCGTGTGGCCAGCTGTGGGGCAGAAGGAAACCCAGAAACGGTTTCGTTTTCGGAGACGGCCCGGCCACCGCTCCCTGCCTCTGCACAAGCCCATGGCAGGCACCCCCGAGGAAGCTGTGTCCGCTGGCGTGGTTTTATCAGAAGCAGCAAAATTAGACACCGTTTCCCCTAGACTTACGTATCCCTCCTCTGCGTCTGCTCTCATGTGCAGACATTAATTGAACTGCCTTCGCTACTAAAAATAAACTCCCGGTCAAATGCAGTGAGCCAAAAACCTCAATATGAAACCACAAAAAGCAGTAATAAAGTGGGCCAATACCAGAGGCGTCTTCAAAAGACATTTCTGTTTCAACGCAGGGTTCCGAATGGGCCGCAGTCTTTTCCGTAGGATGGTCAGCCACCTTTCCACGGGTACCCGTGGCCGGAGGCCAGGCTGGCTGCTGTCCTCTGTGGGCAAGAGCCGCCGAGTGCCCTCTGACCGAGGCCCGAGGGGTTGGCTTGCAAGTATCAGACAGGAGCCAGGAGATGCCTCCAGAGTTGGGGTCCAAAAGCAAGGTGGGGGTCAAAGGGAAGAAGCCCAGCCTGTGTGCGGGTCCAAGGAGGGGCCTGGATGAGAGAGTGACACTGAGAAGGTCAGGAGCTGGACAGGGAAGCAGGTGGAAGAGTGGAGGCCAGTTGATTTACAGCTGAGAAAAGAGAGCCCGGAAAAGCAGTAAAGGACTTGCCCAGGGTCCGGGGTGTGGGGTTGTGGGTGGGGGGAGGCGGTGGGAGGAGGCGGGGCTAAGGTGGAGTCCAGGTTCCTGGCACCCCTGTTCTATGGCAGGAAGAGTCAGATGGCCCAGGCTGGCGCATTGGAAAGGCACGGGTGCCCTCCCATTGGCAGGAAGCTGATTTCTAGGCAGGGATGCAGGCGGGAGAGCGGGGCCCTTAGGACAAGGAGGAGCACAGGCAGGAGACAGGTGCTCGGTCCTGGATGAGAGCCCCCATCACAGACCAGCTCCTCCCCGGACGCACTCAGGACTACGCCGCCTGAATCCAGCACCTACCCCTGTTCTGCCTGCTCCCAGCGGCTGAATTCTGGGGAAACTGCTCTCCCGTCACCCCCAGTCAGACCTGCCAAGCCTCTTCTCCATCCACAGAAGGCAGGCCACCCGGATCACGCTTGCAGCCCGGAGAGACAATTCTTCCAGCTTCTATCAGTGGTTCTTAACCTTCCTAATGCCGCGACCCTTTAATACAGTTCCTCATGTTGCGGGGACCCCCAACCATAAAATTACTTTCGTTGCTACTTCATAACTGTAATTTTGCTACTGTTATGAATCGCAATGTAAATATCTGATATGCAGGATGCATTTTCATTGTTCGCGACCCACAGGTTGAGAACCCCTGGATCCTCTGCCCCAGGGACCGGAGTCCCATCCGCCCTTGCCCCGCTGCGGGAGCCGCTTGTCCTGCCCTTGGGGTGCTGCAGGGAGTGTGACCCCGGAAAAGGCTGCTGCAAATCTGCGTCCACACTTGTCCCAAAGCCTGTTGCCTGGATCGGGAGCCAGAGCGTGGGCTCCGCAAACAAACTCTAGGCCAGTGATGGCGAACCTATGACACGCGTGTCAGAGGTGACACGCGAACTCATTCTTTTGGTTGATTTTTCTTTGTTAAATGGCATTTAAATATATAAAATAAATATCAAAAATATAAATCTTTGTTTTGCTATGGTTGCAAATATCAAAAAATTTCTATATGTGACACGGCACCAGAGTCAAGTTAGGGTTTTTCAAAATGCTGGCACACCGAGCTCAAAAGGTTCGCCATCACTGCTCTAGGACCTGCCGAGGGCTCGAGGGCCAAACCAGGCGCGCAGCCCGCGCACAGGAAGTCCTGCCGCCGCCCGCACTGCAGGTGGGTTCTGACGGCAGAAGTGGGACATCAGATAATGTAGTGAGTGCCCGGAGGTGCGGACGTCCGTGGACTGACAGGCTGCCTCATCGCAGATGCGCTCAGCTCCAGTCTACTCACATGCATCTTGGAGGGGTCTGGGAAACCTCCCCCAAGGGAAGCAGGGCCCCGCCCCAGGCCTCCCTCCCACACACCTGGTGAGCTAGAAGTGTCCTGTATGTGCACCAGGCCCCCCCCCCCCCGCCGCCCCTCCACTATGACTGAAGGGCGAGGCCTCTGCTCTCCATCCCCCTGTGCCCTGAGGCTGCTGGAGACAAGGCACCCTGCCAAATTCCAGGCACGAGGAAAAGATGGCACTCGCACCGCATTAGCGCATTCTCTCCTTCCCTCCCGTCCTGCCTCCCCCGGCCATCTGCACACCAGCCAGTCCACCTTTCTCATCCACCTGTCCGCCCCTGCATAGTGTTCAAATCTGCCATGGGAACCATTCTCCTTTTCTGTCGTCTTATTCATTCCCTTCAACCTCTCCTTTAAAAAGCAATTGCAACGGACCCCCTCCGGTGATCCCGAAAACATTCTTCTCTGGGTTCTCCCTGTAGCTCTCTCTCCCCTTCGCCACTGCCTCCTTTCCAGCGCCTCATCCATTTGCTCTTACAGGACGCACAACAGGAGGCCCAACCCCGGGGTGTCAGGGCCTCTGAGACAGTCCACGCGGGAACAAGCTCACCAGCCGTTGAGTATACGGGCAGGGGAAGAATGGAGACAGCCCGAAATAGCGGCTGCATCCAGGGGAGGGAGCAACCAGGTCTGCTCGGGTCTGCAAGGCGATTCCCAGCTTTCCCGAAGCGCATCTGGTGGCCGGTGGGAGGCACAGAGAAGAGCAGACCCAGGACTTTAAACCAGCCTGCTGCACGGAAGGACCTCTACATGGTATAATTAATGAATTAAAAAAACAAAAACAAAACACTCTGGTTTTGGAGCCTTTCCTCCTAATCTCCACTGTCTCATTCAATACCCACAACCCCCTCCGGAGGCCGGTGCTAAGAGGATCCCCATTTTACAGATGAGGAAACCGAGGCTTGGCGAGGCTGGGTGATTTGCCCAAGGGGAGGCCAGGAGCAAAACCAGGAAGGACTGGCTCTGCCGGAAGCCTCCGTGTTCACCTCCAGCCTTCACCGCAGGCAGCCTCAGACCCGGCGTGGCTGGAGCAGGCGCTTCAAGGAGGTGGGGAGGGAGGAATCAGTCATCCGGGTGTCCCCAAAGGCGTTTAGACCTGGTTCCTAACCCCAGCGCCCCTTCCCATCCTCTCCCAGGTATGGCCCCCACATGTCTCAGCTGGACGCCAGAGCATCCCCCTCCACCAGGAGGGAAGGAGTGGGGCGCCACTTTGGAAATGGGGGCTCCTTCCGCGACTAGGGGCTGAAGGAGAGAGAGCTCCCAAGGCACACGGCACAGGCGATCACAGAGCCAGGCCCCGTGTATCAGGATGAGGTGACCGAAGCCGACGGCCCCAGCCCTGCAGAGCTGCCCAGGGAGCCAGGCCGAGAAGTCAAGAGCCACAACCCAAACTGAGTTGCTAGACATCACCAATTCCAAACGTCACTTCCGGCCCATCCCATAGAGTTCAAGGGGAGACATTCCCTTACCTCCCTCCTCCAAGCTCAAGGCGTTACCACTGGAGTCCAGGGAAGGCCAGCGCTCGGGTTCCTCTGGAGTGTTGAATGGACACGTGTGTTTTCAGGCGAAAGGCACCTAAATCCCAGGATCCTGCAAATAGATCTGAAAAGGACAGAGAATGATTAGCACCAATGTCCACAAGAGACATCTCATTCACTTAAACAAGCAGAAGTACCCGCCCTGGCCGGGTTGGCTCAGTGGATAGAGTGTTGGCCTGTGAACTGAAGGGTCCCGGGTTCGATTCTGGTCAAGGGTACGTACCTCGGTTGCACTCAGGAGGCAACCAATCGATGTATCTCTCTCACATCGATGTTTCTCTATCTCTCTGTCTCTCCCCTTCCCTTCTATTCCAAAAATCAATGGAAAAATATCCCTTGGTGAGGATTAACCCCTCCCCCCACAAAAAAATAAGAAGTGCCTGTATACTATGAGCTAAATGAGAAGCAGTGGGAGAGCTGACATTTATTGAGCAACTGTGATGTGTCAAGTACCCTGATGTACAGTGAAATACATGAAGCCATTCAGTCCCATGAGATGAGTTTTTGATAGCTCCGTATTTCAGAGAACACATTCGAGGCGAGGCCAGCACTGACGGCCGGGTCTCCTGATTCCCAAGCCTCCCCCATCCACCCTGTGCAAGGGCCCTTCCCCCCTAAAGCTTGAGTTCATCCGATTCCAGGAATTCTGGCTCGGGGGGGTTGGGGAATAGAAACACGGAATCACTTCATTCTGAGGACGGCCTGTCCCAGATGCCCAAGCCATTCCCCAGGAGGCGGGGCTTATGGAAACCGGGGAAGCTGTCTCAGATTAACTTGGTTGTAACTTTTATCTGGGCCCCACACTGCGATCTGCTAGCATGCAATCCGTGCACATCATGAATTACTCAGGGAACAAACAACTGTGTAGCGTCCCCAGGGCCTCTTATCCTAGCTGATCATCGAGGCAGCTGCAGGAGGTGGCCAAAAGGGGCGAGACGGCCACCCCTAATCTTATCAGCACTGCGAGGACCCCCTAAGACTCCCCGGAGCAGGACCAGGCGCTCCGCGCGTGAGCTCTGACACTGACTTCTCTTCTTCAAGGGACGGTGTGGCACCCCCAGAAAACCACACGGTTACATCACCATGGAGCGATCCTTCCAGACCTCCATCCTGCGCCCCCCTCCCACCCACCCCCCTGCATCCCCAACTCCACAGCATCTTGGAAGCCAAATCACCAAGCAGATGGGACTCCTGTGAGCACAGACTCGGAATAAAGAAGACTGACAAGTGCTGAAGGGGAATTTGCCCTCCATTCCGGAAACAGCCAGAGAAGTACCCTTGCCCCAAGGGCAGAGGCCAGGTGGCCCGAATTCCCCACCATCAATCCCCTCTCTCCTCCAGGAAAACAGTGCCATCATTTGCTTCTGTGAGGCCCTCTGGTTGTCACCTCCTCCCGTGGATGTGTCTGTGTGATGGGGACCGACAGCAGCCCCTTCCGTCAAGGGCTGGTTGGAGCCATCGCTGCTCAGAATGCCGGTTCCGAGTAGGAGACGGGGAACCCCCTCTCTCGGAGAAGTCCTCGCGGCTGACAGCACGCTCAGAAAGATGCCTCCTCGCACACCCACACTCCCCCATGGGCAGCCTCCCTCGCTCCCAGACCTTATGCCCAAAAGAAGAGGCTGTTTTCCTTACGGTCAAATGCATTGGCTTCATTACCCCAAAGGGCAGCCGCTGGGCTTCCCGCTGACTGTGGGCTCGTGGTCAGGCTGCCCGGGTTGGCATCCCAGCTCTACTGCCAACGTCCTGTTAGGAGCCTGAGCAAGCGACTCTCTGAGCCTCAGTTCCTCATCTTAAAGGTCTGTTGTCAAAGCAAGAACCTTTGCACAGCTGAGCATGGGGCCTGGCACGTGACAAACGCTTAGGAAGCGATCAGCATTCCACTGAGGCAAGTGCTGGGGCCTTAACTCTTCGTCTCCTCCCCATAAGGAGGGACAAGGTCTCCCCTCTTCCTGTCTCCCCACGATGACTGGGTCAGGACACAGGGTGCGGGGAGCAGGAGAAGCCAATGAGAATGGAGCTAAAGTCTGGGGCTTGTGTGCACCAGCCTCAGCTCCAGGCCTGACGGCCCCTCATCTTCCATTTGTTCATCTGCAAGATGGAGCAGAAGGTAACCCTTGCCAGCTCCCAGGCATGCCGCACGAGACCGTGCAGGCGGGCTACGCTGCAGAGACTGGGAGGGGCGAGAGACAGGCAGCAAATCCTGACAGCAGTGCCACGGACAAGCCCCCCTGGACGGGACACTTTGCTGAGGAATATCCTCCCGGGACCTCACTGAGCTCCCACGGTGACCCCAGGAGGTCAGCTCAGAGTCCGACCCTCATGCCCATTTCACAGACGTGGAAAGTAAAGCTCAGAGAGGCCCAGGAGGCTGCCCGACACCCCCCCATGTGTGGCTGAATCACTGGTTTGCAAGCTCAGCCCCACCTCCTCGTAAGGGGGGCAGCAACAACCCAGAAAGTCAGCTCTTGCCAGAAAAAAAAAAAAAAAAACCTCCTTCCAAGGCGGCCAAGTTGATTAATGTTTTTAATTAATGTTTTAAACCACGGAGCAATGTTCCGTGGTAATTAGGGAACTAAAATTTCTAAGTTTCTCCCGGGAGCGGGCCCAGCCAGAGGCTCGCTGCCAGAGCTTGGGGAGGCCGTCCTGACCGGCCAGGGTGGTCAGAGTGGGAAGGTCGCCGCCCCACGTCAATGCCCCGAGCCTGGCAGGCTGTCGGGTAGCTTCCCACCCGTAGAGACAAGCCAGGGAAGAAGGAGACTGGCACAGCGCAGGGGCAGGACTAACCGGGCCCCTCTTCCTCGGGATCCAGCCAGCCCAGCGGAAGAGGGAGCAGAGGGGGCGACACGCAGCCTGTCCAGCCCTGGGCCTGAAGGCCCGGAGGCTGCTGCTCGCCGGGCCCCCCGGCCTGCCACACCGTCCCGGGACAGGGAGACCCCTGCTCTGCGGCTGACAGACAAACCCTGCCCTTGCACCTGAACCAGGGGACCACGGGCTTTCTCGGGATGCTGACAGGTAGACCTAGATAGACCCCCAAGATCCCAGGACATGAGAGGCGATGGGGGCCCAGACACAGACCCCTTGGCCATTGTGTTCAGGGATCTTTCTCGCTCTGCCAGGGTCTTCCTTGTTCTATTCCTCCCCACGACCCAAAAGGCAGGGTGGTAATCGCTTCTTTTCTCCCAGGAGAAGGTGAACAGCCAAGACCAGCCACCCCACAGGCAGGGGCCCTGGCTGCTCGGCAGGACACGCTGAGGCGGCCGTCAGATGAATGACTACATGGTAACTCAGGCGAGGAAAGTGCCATCTTCTCCGTAGGATTCTTGACCTGGAGATCATTCAAACATCCTCTGCTTGCTGCAAACAGACCACAGAGGTGGATGAAGGCACCTCAGGGGGGAAGACCCTGAGAGCAGCCCCAGCCTTGGGGTGCTCGATCCCCCAGAGAAGCCCTGGGAAAGGACAGTCATGGGGGGTCAGCAGAGCCTGCCTCACGCGCCTGCTGACTCTGAGATCCAACAGGCCTAAGTGCATGGGAAACAGGTGCCGACTCGGGACACAGGCTGCCGGGGGCAGAGCTCGTCCCGTCAGCAGCTGTGCACCCTGGGCAGGCTACTTGACCTCTCTGATCCTCATCTGTAAATCAGGGCCACTCAGAGCAGCTGCCTCCCAAGATGGGGAGAAGACGCACTGCTGTGCATGCAGGATGCTTAGCCCAATGCCTGGCTCACAGCAAGTGCTTGATTAATACCTGTTCTTCTTGGGGTCTCACTGCTGCCATTACTCCCACTGAGGGGCAGGCAGACTAGATGATCCTGGATTTGCATCCCAGCGCGGCCATTTCCTGGGAATGCGGCCAGAGACTGACTGCGTGACCTCCTTACGCCTCAGTTTGCTCGTGGACAAGACGTGGGAGTGACCACCAGCCACACTGGACCACCCAGGATTGCAGGACACGTAGTAAAACAAATGGAACAGCATGCGCCTTTCAGAGGGAGAACCCAACCCAAACCGAGGGACGTTCCCCAGAGCAACTGGCCCGCACGCCTCAGAAATGTCAAGGTCAGGAGCAGCCTGGGAACCGCTCCGGGGTAAGGAGACGTGGCCACTGAGCGCAGAGGCTCTGGCATCAGGAAAACCCAAGAGGCCATTATTGGGACAACTGGTGACATGGTGTGTGGCCCGGGGGTTAGATAATACAGTTGAAGCAACACTCAGTTGCCTGAGTTGGAGAAGATTTGGGGATAAAAGGGCGTGTCCACAACTTACTCTCAAACGGTTCAGAAAAAACGGTGTGTGCGTGTGTGTGTGTGTGTGTGTGTGTGTGAAGGGGGTTTGGTGAAAAGCGGGTTAACAGTGGTGAGTCTGGGTGCACAGCAGCTCTGCGTACCATCCCTGCCATTGCTTCTGCCTGTTTGAATGACCCGGAGCTGAGGAGCAGGGTGGCAGTGACCGACCTAAAGGCCCGAGACCCCACCATCCACGTGAGCCCCAAACACAAGCCTTTCTCACCGAAGCCATGCCACCTTGTGCAGAAATGCGACGATTTACTGGGTGGAAAACTACAAAGGATGACACTGAAACTTAGTTTGAACCACCACCCCTCCCGCCACGAAGGAAGACCAATGGATGGCTCCCTCTGTCCCTGCACCCCAAAGCCAGGCTTGGAGGGCCCACCCCCTGGCCAGCCAGCAGGCAGCACGCCAGGGAGGCACCTGGAGGAGGGCAGAGGGCAAGCTGGGCTTTCACGTGTGCCGGGCAGTGTCAGGAGAGCTGCCTGCATCTCCAGTCACGTGATCCTCCCAAGAACCCTTCAGGCAAATGCTATTGTTATTCCCATTTCCCGCTGCAGGAAACTGAGGCTGGAGGGAGGCTTTCGCCTGGTGTTTCATCTGGAAGGTGGGTGATCTGGGATTCGAGCCCAGAGATTTCCACAGACCAAGGAGAGGCAGGCACTTTGGGTCCACGAAGCAACAGGAAGCTGTGGGGGGTGGAGACCCCAGCTTCCTGCCTGGTGCCCCCCCACCAGCACTGCACACAGAAGCCGCTCAATACTTGCATACGGAT